TGAATGGCTTAGTTAGTAAAAAAAATTTTAATATTCTTCAAAAGTGAAGGTTCTAACAAGCCAACGAAACAATATATTTATTGAAGGAAATATTTGTAAGCACATTATCTGGCGTCGTGGGTCTGTGACCTCCAAGATCGTGCGATTTTGTACTGTTGGACCATTTTTTGTGGGGCTATGTAAAGTCGCATGTCTACGCAGATAAGCCCGAGACGATGTACGTCTTGGAAGAGAACATCGTTATTGCTTGCATACGGCCCCAATTGCTACAAAAAATGGTCGAAAATTGAGCCTCTCTGCGGGAATTTATTCCAGCCAAAGCTTTCTAAGAACTATTTTTGGATTGCTAGGTCGACTTACTCAATTCTATCTTTATTTCGTCTTCATTTTCGAGTTAGAGTCTACTTTGAAGCGATGTTAGAACAATTGCAACTTTTGCAAAAGAGAGAGATAACTTTCTTCAACTCCATTATTTTGTAAGATTTCGATTTGGAAGTGTAATCTTTCAGACACCATTTATGTAACTCGTATCTTTCCGAGCGTCCATTAACACATTGGTCGTCATATAAATATGTCACGTGACCTTCGTTAGAGAAGAGGGACGCGATTAAATTATGTGTGAAACTCGGTAAATCTGCGACAGAGTCGTTTCATATGATCAATCAGGCTTATCTAGATGTTGATTTAGCAAGAAATGTGTTTTTCGGTGGCACCTTTGGAGAGTCGGGAAGAGATCGCTGATGAATGAGCAAGTCCAAAGTGAAAACGATGCTCATTGTCTTTTTTGACATCAAAGGCATCGTCCACTATGAATTTGTTCCTCCTGGACAAATCGTCAATGCCAAGAGACTCAAACGAAGGGTCAATCGGGTTTGACAAGATATCGTTGAAAAGCTACCTAACCAAGGCCGGCATCCCAAGTAGCCGCCCTACAGCCCAAATTTGGCCCCCGGACTTTTTTCCTTGCCTAAAAAGGCCGATGAAAGGCAAGCATTTTGAGACGATAGGGAGATCCAAGCAGCATGCACCTCGGCTCTGAAGGCTTTTCCAGAGAATGCCTTCCGTTCTGCCTTCACGCCTTAAGTGCTTGGAAATCGCACTGGCAGCGCGTTGGGTTGGCTGCGATTAATGCAGAAGGAGCTTATTTTGAAAGTTTCTAAAGAATTAATTCAATAAATATGTTTATATGGTATGATTTCCAGAAAAGTTATCTTTTTCGCGAAATATAAAAAACAAGAAAACATTGAGAAATGGAGAAAACCATAGCATTTTCCACAGTTTAATGGCTGATTTAACAGCTCATGAGTGAAAAGCATTATCTTATTAGGCCAATAAGTCAATATTGACGTCAACAACACACGCTTTATAGTGTGGGTTTGTTTTTACTGCTATTTGCATGGGACTACCCACCAACTCTCCTTTATACTTGTATGTACTATTTCATAGCTGGTTGGGTGTGAGTTCGAGAATAAAACTCCACTTAATGGCCAACCTGTTGGCTCTTTTGACAGTTTCAGCCGCCACAAGTTAGCAAACTGTAAGAACATTTGCGCTTTAGCTTAGATACCTTTGTATATTTTTTCCAAGCCAACGAATTTGGTATTAAACTCTTAAGTAATTATTTAGTTAATAACACAATTTAGCAGCAGAAACTTTTATCATAACAAAGTGTCAGTCGGTTAACCCTTTCCTTTCGACCAGTTTCCTTTACTAGCAGCAAACTGTTAACTGCGCATACGCGGAAATGCCAATACAGTTTCGGCAGGGTGAGTTTTGCCATAACCTTTCTCTCGTATTGCTAAAACTGTAACTTTTTGGACACGTTATTTTGACATTAGTGCATTTGCGACAGCAGTTGGAGGTGGCGGTCAGCTGTCAGCAGGAAGGCAGTAGGCCGAAAATTTCATTGGTCAAAAGCGTTTAGCTGCCGCATATTAACTCTATTGAGTGCAAAGTGCATTAATGCACAACAACAACAATACGGGAATCTATAGAAATTATTTTCAGTGTACATTTGCAGGAGTTGAGTGCTGAAAAAAGGGCAAATCAATCGAAGAAGCTCATTGTGTGCAGCGATTTTCAAGTGGTTTGAGAAGTGAAATTGCAACCGAGCAAAAATAAAAGAAATAATTATACAAAAGAATTACAGAAAAGCCACTGTGCAAGTAGTGATGAGAAAAATACATAATCTGTGATCACAAGCGAATGAATATGACTTCTGTGCAATGGCCAGCTTATTGGTATACACTGGTGCCGCCACAGCAGCAGCACCAGCAGCAGCAGCAGCAACTGCAGTAATGTGATCATCAGATGGGAAATTCCTGTGCATTATATGGCATACTGCAGTGGCGTTGGAATAAGTAAACAAACACTTAATGAAAAAGGTAAATGGGCAGTTTTTTGGCACGCAGGTTCCAAACTCTTTCTTCTTCAAATTTCTTTTGAGCGTTAAGTGGCACATTTAAAAATATGTAACTGTCAAGTGACTGTACATATGCGCCGCGACTCTGCATCTTCAAGCTGCCGCTGTATAGGCATTTCCGCGAAGTGCAGCGGATTTTGTGTCATTGGAAAAGTGCAATATCGATTTTTCGCCAAGGTTAGTGGGTGGTCAAAAGTGCAGTTATTGCGCGCCCAATGCTCCACCTTCATTTGCTGCACTCATATATGTACTATGTATGCAACTATGTTGCTAAGAGCAATTCTAAGCTCGAAGCGCCAATTTCACGCTGCGTTAAAAAAAAAAACACTATTTTGTATACATTTTCTTCAATTCTTCAAACTGGCAATGTTTTTGCCAACCAAACAAATTTATAGCTCATTGCACTCGGTGCTGAATATCGTAGTATGTGACGATTGCGTCAGGCGATTATCGCGTTAGTCAGTATGCTGTACATACATACATATGTATGTGCAAGTATGTATGTGTGTGTGAAAATATCTACTGACTTGCAGTAAAATTACAATTGCAGTACACTGAGAGAATTAATTGTTTACCATTAGGTATTTAGTTTGTAAACGTAATGATGAATTGCCGATAGTTTCTAAAATTTTTTGAATTATCTTAAGAAATTATTGTATAAATATCTAATATAGAATAAATCTAAAATAAATAACACAAAAAAATACATATACATATATGTAGCTAGGCTGCGAATATTTTCAAGTTGTCCATGAGAAGTTCTCCCGAGCTTTATGGGAGTGATCCAATTAATATTTAACCATGACTTTGCGTTATTATCGCAACAGAAAAATATCGCAATAATAAAATAAATTACCATAGATGGACTACTGTCAGAGTTTTGGTTAAATCAGACTCGTAGTTATGCCTGGAAGGCGTATTTTAGAAAAAGAATAATATCGGTCAAATATTTGATTCCAGTTTTTGTATGCGAAATTGCGTAGTTAAATTAAAAAGCGTTTGGATGCTGTTTTCTTCGAATGGTTGAATGATATTCAATCAGGTCACAACTCGGTTTACGATGAGACAAAAATCCACGATCTCGTATTGGCAGGCCGCCAATTGAGCGTGCGCGAATTAACTGGGACAGCAGGCCTCACAAAAAAACTCGCGGCATGAAATATTTAGTCTGAGAAAGTTGGAGACTTCACCAGTGAACCTGGATTATTGGCTCAAACAAAAAAACACGTGGTATGAAATATTAAGTCATCACCACTGAACCTGTCTTATCGGGATGATTATTGGCGGACTTTTACCATTGAAGGAGTTTTCATTTTCGTAGAGATAGCAAAGCGAATGAGCTAGCTAGAAAGGCAGCTATCGTCTGTATTACTACTTAATACTAGCCGCCTTAAGTAATTGGTGACAGTCTAAAATGTATTTCGGTTTCATCAGGTATTATTTTTAGCCACTAAAGCTTTGTCAACCAAAATTGGTGAACACTGATATTTTCGATTTCCAAGATTTTATGTGAAAATTGGTGAACTTTTACTTTTTCAAGCGTGGGTCGATCCGAGAATACAAAACTTCGGCAATTGCCTCTATCCTTTTCGAGGTCACGCCAGATGTACATTCCAAGTGTTGACAGGACCCTATGCACTTGGTTCTTCTATTGGATGGAAGGAGATTTTTCCTGGTTTCATACGTATGGCAAAGCTCAACTAGCGCACTCGTTCGTTTTTTATGCGCTTAACTCAACGTAGAGCTCATGCAGTTCGTGGTTTCATCTTCTTTGATATTCATGCCCCAAACGGAGCACATTTGTTAACTCATCTCAGCAGAGGAGTTCGGTAGGGCATCGTTAATGTTATATATGTTTAATTGGATGAGAATGGTGCCATCAATGGTTTCACTACCGTGTCTAAAGAAGTTTAATTTTGTAATTTTTTTTGCCAATTTCGTACGCGCTTCTCTCAGTGTATCTCTTATGTGACCTAGACTTTTGTATTCCATTTAATCTATGCTATTGACGACACTACCGGATACTGGTTCCTTCATTGACTCGTATAATTGACATATTCGAAATTATTTGTGAGCCCATAGTATGTAATGTACTTGTATTAATATTTGTCACACTAAGATCAAAAGCCAACAAATAGGAAATACTGATATCCATTGCAGAATATATGGTATTTCTGCAATCTACCGATCGCCGTCAAGGAATATTGATGAGCAAGGCTTCGGAAAATCCAGAAGTTATTTCGTAAAACCGAAAGAGAAATCGACAAAGCTAACTTTTGAAGATATAGAGGATATTGACAGCGATCAATTCAAGTTTTACATATATTCTTAATGCACCCAAACAACTATTTAAAAATTCCTCCTTTAATATCCGAATCTAAAAGTTATGAAAATAATGTTTAAGGCACTTGGGTGCCTATAGTGCGATAGTTTATTAGAAAAAAAGCAAACAGAATAGCAAAACGACTTAGTTATGTTGAGCGCCAATAATACACAACAATCGCAACAACAACAATCACAGTCAACACAACAACACCACGCGCAGCACCAGCACCAACATCAGCACCAGCATCAGCAACACACTACACAGCAACAGCATCACCAGCAACAACAACAGCAGCAGCAGCAGCAGCAACAACAACAAGTGTATAACGGCGACTTGAACTTCACCACATTCGCTGAACTTTGCCGCTTCTGTTCGATACGAAATGGTCCCGCCAAAATTCATCTCTTCGAAAAGGAGGCGGAGCAGAGGAATTTGGTCTACAAACTGCGCACGCTAATGTCAACAAATGTGAGTAAAGCAAGCACTTTTCATATTTTTTATATGAGCACATGCTTATGTACATATATACTTACATACGATTTGCTGGTTATGTAGCGGCGCTCTCAATGTGTTCCCCTCATTGTGGGTTGTAGCGCGGCCACTAGAAACCGTCAACAAATATGCAGTCGCAAACAAGTTTACTGATATACGCTGATGTGTGTGTGTGTGTGTTGTAAGTAAATGTTTTGGCGGCAACTACATACTTTTGTTTTTATATTTTCATTATTTTTATGAGGTTTGTGTTCGGATTATCCAGCGAAACCTTTATATGGATGCAAGTACACAGAGAATATACCTATGTATGTACACAATTCCTGTACTAAAAAGAGGTATTTCTTGATAACCAGGAAATGGTTATATTAAAATGCGAAAAAACCCATAAAAACTGGTAATAAAATAATTATGTTAAAATTTTGACCAAATCGAACTATAAATATTAGTTGCGCTACCGAAGTTTTTATACCACAGTAACTTTTTAGTAGATAAAATGGACCGCCTGCGCGGACTTATCGCGTAGTATACGTCAAAGTAGACCTTATAAGTCAAAATATATTTACAAACGCGACCGAAAGTTCTTTTTGCTGTTCTTCGAAATCACTACTGTCAATAGTTATACTCTCGCAACAAAGTTGCTAAAGAGAGTATTATAGTTTTGTTCACACAACGGTTGTTTGTAAGTCCTAAAACTAGAAGAGTTAGATATAGGGTTATATATACCAAAGTGATCAGGGTGACGAGTAGAGTTGAAATCCGGATATCAGTCTGTCCGTCCGTCCGTCTGTCCGTCTGTCCATCCGTCCGTGCAAGCTGTAAATTGAGTAAAAATTGAGTTATCATGATGAAACTTGGTACACGTATTTCTTGGCTTCATAAGAAGATTAAGTTCGAAGATGGGCAAAATCGGCCTACTACCACGCCCACAAAATGGCGAAAACCGAAAACCTATAAAGTGTCATAATTAAGCCATAAATAAAGATATTAAAGTGAAATTTGGCACAAAGGGTCGCATTAGGGAGTGACATATTAGGACGTAATCTTTTTGGAAAATTGGGCGTGGCCCCGCCCCCTATTAAGTTTTTTGTACATATCTCGGAAACTACTATAGCTATGTAAACCAAACTCTATACAGTCGGTTCCTTCAGGCATTTGCATATACAGTTCAAAAACAGAAGAAATCGGATAATAACCACGCCCACCTCCCATACAAAGGTTATGTTGAAAATCACTAAAAGTGCGTTAACCGACTAACAAAAATCGTTAGAAACACTAAATTTTACGGAAGAAATGGCAGAAAAAAAAAGAAAAAATGGGCGCGGCGTCGCCCACTTATGGACCAAAAACCATATCTCAGGAACTACTCGACCGATTTCAATGAAATTCGGTGAATAATATTTTCTTAACACCCTCATGACATGTACGAAATATGGGTTAAATCGGTTCACAACCAAGCCTTGTTCCCATATAAAACTATTTTGAATTCCATCTGATGCCGTCTCTGTATAATATATCCATTAGGAACCAATGATGACAGCGGAATAAAACTTTACACAAATACGGTATTTGATGCGAGAGTATAAAATGTTCGGTGACACCTGAACTTAGCCCTTCCTTACTTGTTTTGTTTTCTTCTTGCTCAGCAAGTTATTTGATATGGACAAATAATCTTTTCAAAGATCTTTCTGCTCTCTCATTCCAAGATAGACTTATTCATGACATTCATGGCCTCCACGGGCCATTTTCTATACTTTTTTATCCGTCTATTATTTTTTAAATATCTGCTTTAATGTTCGCCTCAAGTAATAAGTCTTAAAATTCGATAATAACGCATGATTAATTGGTTGGATTGATGTATGTATGTGTGTGCACAATGCAGAGTTTAGGGGAATCTTCGGGTCGAAAACCGCTGCTAAACCGAAGCAGCGCTCAACGAAACACCGTTAACCGGGGTCTCACTATATGAGATAAGATGATAAGTAATCAAAATTTATTTTTTTGAAATTTTTTAATTTTTTGTCAAAGATACCTTTGGTTAACAATTAATTACAATTCTCCACTAGAAAATCCTAAAAAATATACAATGGAAGGCTCATTTGGAATGGAGAAATTCCTATCTGGCTAATTGTATTCAATAATTATATATAGTGATATATAGGGTGTTACAATAGGAACTCTAACAGAGGAGACCGATAGGAACAGCAAACGGCGCCATATTTGCCCCCGCTCTTTTAACATTTATCTTCAATAAGGTTTGACATTTCATCATGAAAAATATACGATCCAACAACAAGTCGAAATTATTAAAATTTACTACGGAAATTCGGAGTCATAAGCCTCAACTTTAAAGGCGCTAATCCAAATTATGGTCCTCATAATCGTCCTGTCAGATAAACAATTAAGCGCCTAGTGAAAAAATATTCTCGTGCCAGTGAGACAAAGAGGTGCCCGTAGTGTCGAGAATAATACTGCCAATAGGGCGCCAATTGAGGAAGACCACAATCAGTATCTCACACGTCGTTCTCATGCGTTGGGCAAAAGGATCGTGGCCTACATCTTTATAAAACCAAATTGACGCAAAAACTGAAGAAGGATTTTCATCGAAAAATCTTCTTAAGCGATGAGGATCATTTCTGGCTGGATGTCTTCGTCAATAAGCAAAATATGGGATATTGGTCAGACAGCAATTCACACGTACTCCATGAGTCACCATTGCATTCCGAAAAAATTTCGGTTTGGTGCGGTTTATGGGCCGGCGGAGTCATTCACTTTACTGTGAATGGGAATCGCTATCGCTCAATGATAACCTAATATTTTTGGCCTGAATTGGATGATATGGACACACAGCGAATGTCACAATCGATTTATTGAAAACCAAGTTTGGTGAACGTGTTATCTCACGAAATCCCCCGTCAATAGGCTGCCTCGGTCGTGCGATTTGACGCCGTTAGACTATTTCCTGTGGGACTACGTCAAATCTATGGTCTATAACAAGAAGCCAGCGACGATTGATGAACTTCCTACGAATATCAAACGTGAAAGTGAAATAGTATTGGCCGATTTATGCTTGAAAACCGTCGAAAATTGGGTTCAGCGTCTATACTTTTGCAAGCAAGCCCGTGGAGGCCATGCAAAAGAAATCGGGAACCATACATAGTGGCATCGAATGTTTTTGTTTTATTTCAAAAAAGCAAAACAAACTTTTGTAGCGCTCTTAAAATATACTAAAATACAAATATTCATAATTCGACAAAAATAATGGTCCTTAGGCTAAGAAAAGCCCGCGACTACGGCTCAATATTATGTAAGGAATTTTTAAAGTTTGAAAAGCCAACTTTTTGAATATGGGATGGTTACTTTTGAAAAGCGAAAATTAGCTGGTGAAATTTTAGTTTGAATGGAAAAAACGAGAACTCCTATGTTAAAAGAAATGGAACCTAAAAAAAGATATCGACCCCTTAGATTTAAGCTACAGCGCCTGGCTTGAGGGAGGATTTTTGTTTTGTCAATCACTAACATTTGAGAGAGTAAGAGTGAAAGAAAAAAATTAAAATTTTTTTTGGAGCACCCTAATATACACCCTATCTCAAAGTCGTATTTGTTCGATTATTTACATTTTGTATATTTTTTTTGTGAAATTCGCAAACTTGATTTTTGTTGTGTATCTGTGCATTTTAGATATCCAAGGACGACTACCTTCCAAAGAATATCTGTGAGCAGTGCGTGCACAAAGTGGAGCAGCTATTTGATTGGCGACAATCGACATTGCAGATTGAGAACATACTGCAGAATTATGCGGACTCGATGAGAGCGGTGACGGCGACAATTAATTTTCAGGTGATTTATATATAAAAATAGAATTATAAACGCAAAACATAATTCGTAGATTTTTTTAAATTTATTATATTTATGTATATAGTTAAGTCAAATTATGATTTGTGCGGCACTGGAAGAGTTAAAGCATCGCTCAAAATCAAATTGTAAGAGATTGTAAGATTACCTAAAAGTCTAGGAAGCTCTATTCAAAACTGTTAAATTTCTTTAGATTATTGGATGTTTTACAAAGTTTTGAAAGATTGAAGCTCAATCGTAGCGCTTGACAACTTACGGTTAGTGTTCTTTGTATAATTTTTCTCCACCGTCAATTTGAGTGTAGCCCCGCATTGAGTCGCGCAAAAGTTAAGAACCACTGGCATGCAAAATTTGCTTGCTTGCTTTCTTCATTTACTCCATGCTTTAGGCAAACTTTAATTGGAAACCGTCGTAAAGTACATTTCGCGTTGTTCCATTTTCATGCATTGCAAGTGACTCTTGGAATGCCAACTGGCAGAACACAAAAAACACACACCAATTGCCACCCACCACCCAAGCGACCGGCCGGCGTCTGCCGACAAATACAATGTGAGCAGAAATACTTTCGAAAAAGTTGAGAAAGGCAACGAAACTGAGTAGATACTCACAGAAATTGCTCTGCCAACGACTAACTTTGACATTGTGTACGCTTTAATATGCATACAGGCAACACGATTTTTTTTGGGGTAGGGAGACGACGCGTCACAAGGATACGAGTACCGGCGAATGGCAGCCGGTGGTGCTGATGAGTTGCGCAAGAAAAACTTATTGTTCTCTCGCCAATTCCGCTTGAATGCTTGGTAGACACTGGCTATTTCTTCCTGCCATTCTTTGCCATGACGTCGCGGCGCTGAGGACGACAAAAAGCAAACATAACATATAACTGCTTATTATCCGTATAACTCAGACCTCAATAAAATAATTATCATTTCAAATCCATGCGCGAGTCTAAGTTTTACTAATTCGAGTTCGAATATTTATTATACACAAATATATAGTAGTACTCCACACAAAAATATATATATAACCGATTTAAATGTGTGCAACAACAATTGTGTGTGGCATAATTTGCTTATGGTGCTCGACTGTCAAATGAGGCAGTGATTCGTCGGGCGGTACGGATCGTGCAGTGGGTGGAGGGTTAGCCGTCGTCGTGCGGGTGTTAAAGTCAAGCGGCAATAACTTCGGCGGCGGGCGGCAGGCACTTCGATACATTTCGATACGATTCCCATTAGCGACCGACGCAAGCTCTACGTCTGAATCCGAAATCACTCAAATGTTAATTCAAATGTACGAAAAAGTAAAACGGAGGGCTACTACACCATGAGTGGCAAATCAGTTTCGCAATACATACACAAACAAAAGGTGATGATGAAAATTTTTTCATAAGCACTTACTTACCCACAAAGTGTATACTGTTTTAATAACTCACTGCCGCAAAAAACTAATATATTTTAGGCAACACCAAAAAAACAAAAAAAAAATAAAATTGCAACTGTTTCATCGATTTGGGTGCCAAAACCAAAACAAAAAAAAAAAAAAAATTCCGCTGTTATCGTGTTACTTTAGCGAAAATCAAAAGTTTCCTCATTGTGCAAGTTTATATGGTGGCTAAGGACAATAAATGCGAATATCGATTGATTCGCTTTTGGTGACTGAATGAAAATTTTTGCGACAAACCTTATTATGTTGGCTCTACGCAAGCGAGTTTAAGCGGTACATACATATTTGTTGGTGGAAAATTTAAAATTAAAAAAAAAAAAAAAAAAAAAAGTAGTGCAAAAATATTTTACTTTTCTTTTGCGTGGCGAAAATTGCTCACAAATTTGGTGAAACAGTTACAGTTACATACGTGTGTGTGTGCGTTTTGGGTAGAGCGCTGAAATCAGGAAACACGACGGCTGGCTGTAGTAACGCCAAAGCGCCGCCACGGAAGTGCTTGCCGGTTGGCGCCTCAATAGTATACCGACAAATGGCGGCGCTATGACGAACGGAAAGATCGCCACGCAAAACGTTATGAAAAAATCAAACCTAATTGGCGCATAGTTTGAAAAATCATGTAAACATTTACGAGTATGAAGCGTATAATTAAGTGCAGCAAGTTATAAAAAGTCATAAAATAATGAAAAAGTGCACAAAGTTTTGATTACGTAACGGCAAAAAAAAATCCTAAAAATATTATAAAAATATTATTTCAAACAAGCGAGCTACATTTATGTGGATCTTATAATAATGCTTTTAAATTAATTAAAACAAAAATATATTTTTTAAAATTAAATTTCAATTAAATTTAATTATTTTTGTTAATTTCTTTTTTAATTTCTTTTTGTATGCTAAATAGCTTTATATATTATTTTTATATACATATCACAACGAAATTCTCATATACCTAAAACCCATGCACTAACTTCATCATCCTTTGTCCTTAGCTGGACCGCATAAGGTTATTCCATTGTTCGGAGAGCAATGTTCGCTTTTGCTTTTGCACAAAACTCTCCTAAAGCACTTTCACCTCATACCTACATACTTTCATGCATATGTACATATTAAAGGGTGTTTTTTCAGACATGTTGTTTTTTAAGAAGATGTAATTTAAGGTTATGACCTAGAATTTAGCTTTATTATATAGAAAATTGCTTCCCATTATATATAAAATACAATTTTGGGCAAGTGACTTCCGCGGTTGTCTCGCATAAATTTCAGCCTAGAGGCTTAATTTTCGACTACTTTTTCAGCAATTCGAGGTGGTTTGTCAGTAAAACCAATTTTCCCTTCCAAGCCGTCAATGGCCTCGGGCTTATCTGTGTAGACAAGCTACTTCACATAACCTCCAAAAAATAATCAGCGCTATTATATCGTAAAGTCTTCTGGACATGCTGCAGACCCTCGCCGCGAGATAAATTGATTATCCACATCAACACTTGTTGACTAAAAAGCCATTAATTACTGCTCTATAATGTTCCTCATCGACTCTAACATGAAGGGCGATTTCTTTTTTGAAGAAATTTTAGCCAATGTTTTTTGCTAAAAATTTCTTCAAAAAATATGGTTCGCTATCCACCTGGTTTTGGATCACTTCATCGAATATGCGACGTGCTTGACGGGTGTTCGACTTCGATTCTTGAAAGAGTCGGATTTTGTAAGCCCGCAAACTGAGGTCCGTCCGCAATATCGTCCTTAAAGTGGATGGGAACAGCTCCAATTGTTTCGAGCGGTGGACGACGGACTCATTTGGATCTTCATCGATACTCTGCTTCACAGCATCAATAGCGTTTTCGGTGGCGTCTCTAAGGAAGCGCATTATCTACTAGAGTAAACGTGGTGCGATACCGAACTATGCGATTATGTCGACCGCATATTGCACACGAAGCGAATGTATGTGGTAATAAATATGTTCGTTATGAAATGGCAAGCCGAACCAAGTCAAATCATGTAAGAGCAGTCAAGAAGACCAACTGCGAAAGTGGTGTTGCCACACGCCTAAAAAACACCCTTTATTTGTATATAAGCATATGTGTTAGGCGGCAATGAACAGCTCAACCGGCTTGTACTTACACGCCCATACATACAAATATACTTGTATATATACATATGTATATATAATGTAATAACAAGCATACAGTTCACTCACCAATACATAAAGCTGGATTGTGTTCAAATACAAACAAATTAAATTTATTTTTGTATACATTTCCACGAATTTCAATGAGCAGATATTTGATGAAATGAAAAAGTTGCAATGCTCCAGGAAAAGCTCATTTCATTACACAAAATACACAAGCGCTTAGAGCAAGGTATGTAATGTTTTGCGACCCCAACCCTTGTGCATGACAGAAACAATTGAACGTCACCAAATGCGCCCCAAAATATGTTTCACTTCCCCAAACATTCCAAGGGTAAAATGACTATGCCCTCTACCCGTAAATGGCATAACAACGAAACGGAAAGTGAGTGTAGTAAGTGCAAGTGGATGGTAAGGACATAAAGAGAGAGAGAGAGAGCGAAAGAAAGAGAGTGAGCGTGTTAGCGAAAATGAGCGTGAACTTGTGAAAAGTGCGTTTGAAACGAAGTGAGATTGGCACAGAACAGCGGAAACGTGAACGAAAGCGTAAAAACAGATTGCGCGGCAAAAAGTGCTTTTAGGCGCTAAAGCCGGTTTTATTACTAACAATGCTGTGTTTACACTTAGATAACACAAATGTTAGGAATATATAATTTTTAAAAATACTTTCTTATTTATTCCATTCGGTTTCGCAATTAGGACGGTACCGTTAATATGGATAAAATGACGGTAGCGCAAAAGAATGCATACCTTGAGGCGCATATGGCAGTGCAACAACAAATGGCGCAGGCGGCAATACAATTTAAACAACAGCAGCAGCAACAGCAACAAACGTCCACGAATTCCGCACAACAGCAACAACAGAATTCGCCCACCACCAATAATAATAATAACAATAACAACAATTCGTCGCAGCAGCAACTGCAGCAGCAACAGCAACAACAACAGCAGCAACAACAGCAACAGCAGCAAGCTCATTACGCCAGCACGATTAAGGTACCCCAAATAAGTTCCTCCAGTTCGGGTGGCGCTGAGAGCACTTTCACCGTACCCGACGATGTGGGTATGGGTTTCGAAGGCGGCGTACGCGTGCTACAAAGTTTAGGCAGTTGGTCACCGGACAATGTTACCTACAATATACCTAAGCCAAATCTAATACCATTCACCGAACCATATGTCGAGGGTGGTTCCATGCATCCGGCCAGTCGACTGAAGGCACTGCAACAAGTGCAGCAAGCCTCGTCGGGCGTACGCAAAACGAATCCATCTAAAAGTGAGTATGGTCGAATGCGTGATTTTAGTGGTTTTGTGTTATTTTCTTAATGTTTTGTTTAATAAGGGTTTAAAAAAAATATTTTGAATTGAAAAATAACGTTTCACAAACTTACGAAAATTAAAGAATATTCCTTTTTAATTGACTTTTTCAAAGGATGTATGAATTACTTAACATTTAGCTTAACAAGATCTAGGTTCCTTTGAAAATATGTATAACAACTAAATGGAAAATAGTTTCCAACCAATTTTTTTTGTAAGATCAGACGGATTTAGTCTTCAGAAAGCTATAGGTGCTGCTCACCAGCTGACGTTTTTAGATTAACTTATTTTACCTCGCACTTGCCAAAAGCCTATTTGTTTGCTGCTCTATCTTTAATCTACATTATTTATGTCATGATCTGAGATGATATGATGGATGAAGAGCATCTCAATTTCTCAAAAGCTATACGGGGCGCTATTATGTATGCCTCCATATAAATGATCTTCAAAGATTTACGACATAAGTCCATAGAGGAAATAACCCCCTATATTGTTTTCCGAGTATCATGGAGAGAGGCGAAGTAGTTCCACATTGGAAGTTTTAGAGATCGCTGTGGGCCAACTTCTGGTATCTCTGCTAAAGTACTTAAGACTCATGGAAGCTTGTTATTTTATAGGGTCCAAACATGCGCATGTTCTCTTTCTTAGATCACTGTGTCACGGGGTATATTCCTGATGATTTCTTCTCTCTTCAAATACCGACAAAGGTTTTACATGGATGGGTAAAAGCTCGGAGCTCAGAAGCGTTCTTGGAGCGAGAGTTTTCTATAAACGCTCTCCGTCAAGCTTAGTTTTAAGCCACTTAGTGACATGCAGGGTCTTTCTGGCAACAGTGGCTGACAATTGGTGCAGTCATTTTCAGAAAAATTAGTATTCACTCCGACAATACTTGCTCACTGTACGCTCAAAGTTAGTCAATGAGTGTTCATCCTCACTGTTAATAGGATGAAGCTATTTGGTTATCAGAAATAAAATCGTAGTGAACTGCAAAGCTGATGAGCTGGCAAGAGGAGGCACTTTTATTCCATTTACATCGGAGAGTGTACGAGTTAAATCCCCCTATCCTTCTGCATTCTAGCACTGGCCTACTCGTGATCTTAGTAAACGTTGGTCTATGGCCAGCTTCTGTGAGCCTGAGCGATCCTTCCGGCTTAATGTATAACGAAGAAGATTCACTGAACCACTTGCTCTCTGTAAAGTTAGTCTAGCCGCAATGGTAAGAGTTTCTATTAGGCATTATACAACAAGTACGTATACGGTAAGCACTTTATTCTCGATTTTCTATGTTTTGCAAGACTGCAGCTGAAACATCTCGGCAGTCACATTTCTACCGAAGAAGGAGATATTACCGAAAGTAATATTTGTGGTTGGTTCAAAACGCTTCGTCCAATTTTTCCAAGCATAGACCAACTTTCGCAAGACTCAAGATTACGAGCGCCATATCTCGGTACCAGGAGAAGTACCTGAAACTGATATTGCTCGCTTCAATAAATTTGAGGATTTAAGTTCCAAAACGAACCGACGTTCTACGCTGTTTGAATCAGAACTGTGTTCGCAATTGCGACAGGAGCGGCCTTTTAAACTAACCTGACCTGAACCTTTTTATTCTGTTAGATTTACTCGTAATAATATTGTAGGTCAAAAATTTCAAATTCCAAAAATACACAAAATTCGAATTTTCTTATTCTGAATTAAATTTTTACACGTAATTCTCTTCGCAGACCCTAACAACAAAGCATTCGAATGCACGGTGTGTGGCAAAGGACTCGCCAGAAAGGACAAGCTCACAATCCACATGCGCATTCATACGGGCGAGAAACCATATATTTGTGAAGTATATAATAAAACAACTACAACTACAAACAAACTGAGCACTTACTAACCTAAAATAAAAAATAAATCCATTTCTCTTGTAGGTGTGCAATAAAGCATTCGCCAGACGCGACAAACTTGTGATTCATATGAACAAATTCAAGCATGTGACGCCAACGAATATAGCGCCATTGGGTAAACGGCTCAATAATATGGTGAAAAAGAAAGAACCCGAACCGGAGGACAATAAACAAAATCTGGAATTGCAATTGCAACAACAGGCCGTACAAGTGGCCACACAAAATATTATAGTGCAAACAACTGGCGGACAACATAGTACACAGACCACAGCCATACCGGGCATCATTATACCGCATCATCATCAACAACAATTGTCGTGGACTTGTGAATTATGTGGACGCATGTTCTCGAGTCGGGACGAATGGACATTGCACGCTAAGAGTCATCTAGAGGTGGGTTGGTTGACGGCATTAATTAACAGTTATTTGTTGCTTTAATTTCACACACATATATGTGATTTTTTGTTATAGTATTGACAACAGGAACAGGAAATAATAGAGGAAACAAAACCAATAATAACAACAACAACAGCCAACGCAGCAAAGCAGAGTAGCTTTCAAACTGAGTCCAATCAAAATGCGATGCAAGTTGAAATGAATGCACGTAGAGAGAAAATAATCATACAAAATCAAATGATTATAAACTCGCAACAGCAACAGCAACAGCAACAACAGCAGCAGCAGCAGCAGTCGTCGCATGCTGGCAAAAAATTTAAGAAGCACACGCAACAGTCCACATTATTTTCCACCACGGCCGCAATGTCGAGCAACAATAGCAACAACAATAACAATATGGGCAACAGTGGCAATATTAGCAATAGCAACAATAACAACAACAACAATAGCAACAATAACCGCAATCCAACCGAAGTAACTAAAAATAACTGAATTTATTTTCTTTTTCTTCTATGTGTGTGTATGTTTGTATGTCGCACCATATTTATCACCTCACCCCAGTGATCCTGCAACAGCGGAAACATGTCGATCTCAATCAGTAAAACAAGTCACAAGTTGTCCGTACCCCGCTTCCTGCCCATAACATCGCCACCAAAACTCCGCTTTGTAAAACTATTGTAGCTAAGTTTGCATGTATGGATGTATGCGTGTGTGTGTACATGTGTATGTCTGTATGTATTGCGTAATACAACTTTGCGTGTACGTATTTTTCTTCTTCTTCTTCCTTTTCTATGTTTCTTTTTTACATTTTCAACTCGAATGTTTACCAAACCACTAAACCATTACCCAACAAACCCCAACCTTGCCCGCAAATACCACCACAACAACAACAACAACAATAACAACTCCAGTTTAGTCATCACTTTCACTAACAATGATTCGCTTCATTTCCACTAGATTTCCCATTTATTTGCACACTCCCCCACGGCAGCCACATACGTCCAAGCGCAACTTAACGGCATCAATTTCACAGCTGATAATCAAACCGTTACAGCCAACGTCGCCGCCAATATGAACGCCTCCGCTAATAATGGCAACATTAACGCGAACATCAACACCATTTCCACACCCAACATTAATACGAATGCCACCATCACAACGAATGCGGCACAACAGCCGACCAGCGGCAATGCCGGTGTACCGGTCGTCACCTACAATGGCAATCAATATTGTGTAATAACGCGCAATGATGCCGGCGCCGCCGAGAAATCGGAATTGCTGCAAATTCATGGCCAATTCACCACCGACAAGGAGGGTAAGACGAATATAATTCTAATGTCGCCGGTTTCGGTGCCGATGCAAATGCAAATGCACGTGCCGATGCAGGTGGAAGTGCAAAATCAAAATTGAGTTGAATTTGCCGCGCAGAAAGCGGAGTCGGGCGCTTAGAGGCTTGCCATGAAATGGGTTTACCAGGAATGGTTCGAGTGTATTTGTCGGAAGCCAGTAGGCAGTGGTTAAACAGGTAGGCGCGCCGTCGGTATTCAGAAAGATTTAACAGTTGCATTAAACGAGATATCGTAATCAACAAATCAAATGGTTTTCCAAATTGCTGCTTTTTAGTTTAAGCCGAAGATATCAAATATGAGCGGAAACTGTGTAATTCAAAACAGTGTTTGATATAAACTAGTTCATGTTATACCCAACGCACTTGTAAAGTGCAGTCGTAAAATAAATTTTTTCGAAATGAAGCATTTAGAGTATATTTTGAAGACTTTTGATACAAAGAAAGAACATTATTTTTAGAAACTTTAAAATATTACGATTCACAAGACCTTCCTCCATCTCTATGGTTCTCGAAAAATTGCCGGTCGATCGAGCCAGTGCCGTGCAGACAACGATAACTACTTTAAACCAATTAAACAAGTTCTGTACTATGAATTGCCTAACAGATTAAAATTTATACCTAAATTTCTTTGAGCCTTAGAATACAAACAATAACCAATCTTTCAAACAGCAATATTTACTCGCATACTCAATAAAAACTAGCCTATTAATTACTAGACTGCCACTTTCTGTGTCCACGGTATATCATATAGTTATATTATATTTCTATCCTATGACTCCGAGGGGAAACAAAGGACCTGAATGAGACTTCTTCATTTATTTTGATCTTTTGCTTCCCCCCTTTATTAGACCTCAACCGATTTCGACCTTAGACATATCGATGTACAAATTTCTTCTTCAGGTTATAGAATGTTGGCTTTTTAGAACATATTCGGTATCCATAAGTCCGTGTCAGAGACGGTTATGAGTCCAAAAATGCGGCAAAACTGGTCAGAAAATGTATAATGAAAATCCTTTTAAAGGTTTACCATAAGTTATAAATATTTACCATTTGCCAGCATATTTTTACTTCCGTACGGATTGGTTAAAATCGTAAACCCTATTCTTTATGGTTATAGTTACCAACCTTCGCTACGGAACGAAACTTTAGCCTACAATGTAAACAAAACGTTGGTATTGCCAAGAAGTGAGAATAAAATCGTTTAAGTCAGTGCTACATTTAATCTTAGAGAATAGCGTAGGTTAGATTAAAAGGTCGAGTTAAAAAAGAAAAACGGATATCGCTTGGATGGCTGACGTCACCGAGCCATTGTGATACTGCTAGCTCCTGAGTACTGATCAAATTAAACTCTCAAAAATCGACAAAGCGCTTTGAGCCTACCTAGATGTTTCAACCTCAGTATTGCAAAAGCTGGTCAAAGGAGATGAAAGTATTGATGTTTCCACCGCACTTTCCTTAATACCACTTTGAGAGTTAGCGTCCAACAAAATTTTCAGCTTTATTGCATTCACGCTAAGTACGCAATAACAAGTAAGAACTCAGACGATTTGGCCAAGATTGACCTTACTGTGAGCAAGTAGTTCTCCCGCGTTTCGTAATAAGCTGGGATCTCGCAGTCACACAGAAGCTAGTTGTTGTTAAGCTCACACGAAGTCCTGAGGTTCAGAGCTACAATGCAAGAGAACAGAGCAGACGCAATCCGCAATCCGTCTCAATCCGATGTAATTGCGGCATGTGTGACCACTCTTGCGAGTTCATGGGCTTTACAGAATAATCAGATATTTAATAAGTACTCATCGTAAAACGCGTATAGGTGGTGTTAGTTTTGTTTAAAAAAGAGATTTTCTACAAAATAATTACATAAGTCTGTTAAAAGTCACATTCCCAAAACGTAGCTCTATTCAGAGGCTTAAATTTGGGCTTAGTAGCTGAAAGCCTAGACAGACTGTATGGCATGTTGAAAAAAGTTCGAGGGATTTTGTTTGAAACGTAGGCTTTTTAAGTTGCCAGAACACTGCAGTATATATCAAGTTAAGGTCTTTGCCATTACGAAAGCCGTAGAGTTGGCCTCTAATGTGTCTGCAGACAATTGAAAGCATAGCCAAGCAGTAAGCAGGTAGTAATTTCGTATCGTCTATCGGCCAGAAGTGTCTTGGGAAGCAGGATAGCAGTGGAAAGTGTTGCCAGAAGCAGTGTTGTATGTTAGGCCTCAAAAGCATAGAGAGGGCTATGAAAATGTGGGATGATTGTCAAGATGGATGTACGGCTAACACCCGAAAACGTGATGACCATTGGGAAACGCATGCATTGTCTATACGACTATTTGGAGGTATCGATAGTGAGGCCATAGAGTCTGTTACCGCATTACTACTCCTCATGGACCTTGTAACTGAACTCCATCTGGTATATCAAAGGACCAAAACTGGTATATGCATGGCTCACTGGCCTGCCAGGCTAACCTAACATAAACTTCTTTATGCCTCGAAGTAAACAATGGTAAGGGATAAGGTTCCCAATAATTTATTAAAATTTCGACTTTTAGCACTTTATCTGGCTTAACTTCATTTATATGGTTATTCCCACTTTAGCAATGTTACTTTAACCATAACATTTACTCATGCTCCCCTCTTTTTCGTGCGTTGGGTATAAAAAAGATATGCATATGAATTTAAGGAGAAATTGCCATGTCAATAAAATGTCTTCAAGCTAAGACAATGAAAAAAGTTCAAAATTTGTATACACACTATAATTATGGTTCGACATTAACTCTGTTTGGTTTGCTACGTTAAAGGTAAAATTATACAAGTAAATCTTAAATCTGAGCGCTGTAAGCTTATTTTTCAAACTGAAATTTTAAGTTAGAAACTTAGAAACTTGCTTGCCACAGCGTTGGCTCACTACAAAATCAAAAAAAAAAAAAAAGTTGAAAAATGATAAAATCTCAAAAATTCCAACAAAAACAAAAGTATATATTTTAAAAATAACACCACAAAGTTGCAATAGCTAACCCTCTTAACATAAATTTACCGTTAAGCGTAAAAGAATATATGTATAACTATAAATTTTAAGAAAAAACCAAAATACTTTGAAAAAGTTTGTAAATAATAAAGTAAATTAGAAGAAACAAGTGATCGTCTCCATGCAAAACAAAAACCATATATATAGTCATAAAAAACACCGATAAAATTAGAAAAGCGAAAAATTGTCACGCAGATCTACAAGCGTTATATAAATGTATGTATGCGCCCACAAAACTTTGCATAAGCGCTTTTTAAATTAAACTTAAAAGTGTAATTTGTAAATGATTTTATAGTAACGAGTGAAAAAAGCTCTAAAAAAGTTATAAACTTATACTTTACCTTTAAATAGCCGTCATAAATTAAAAAAAAAGAAAAAATAGTAATAATAAAAAGGAAACACTGTGTTTGTGTATGATTAGTATTAAGGGAAATTTAAGTACATATCTTTGATAAAGAAAGTAAAAGTAATAGAAATGATGAATAGAGCATTCAAAAATTTTTGCAGTGTTAGGTAAACTCGCTCCAAATTTGTATCGAAATGTTGTAATATAACTGAAAATTGTATTGCAAGCAAGGTTGGAAGAAATATTTAAAAAATATTTGTAAAGTTATATATGAATTTATGTCTGATAAGTATATTTTATTTTTTCCAATTTTTTTTTATTTTTTATTTTTATTTTTTAATAAAATTTAGTTTTTATAATAACGTTGGACACATATTTTTTTGATATATGGCAGCTTTATGTGATACATGTAAGCTTTCAGTTAAAATATCGATTTTTTAAGATTTTATCTTAACCACAAGGACCACATATTTCTATAAAAAATGTGTCACTTGAGCTTTAAAATTCGCTAGTGTGCAATATCCATAAAACCTATAAAAACGCTCATGGAATTCATTCCATTTTATTATGGTTTTAGTTTCTTTCATTATATTATATAAGCCACAATGCAAAGAGAGCTTGATGATATTTTTTTCAATTTAAGTATAATAAAAGAATAATTGTTTATTTAATAGAATACTAATTTTCTTAATTATTTAAAATTAATTGGGGTATGCGTTAATACCTAAAGGGAATTTGCTAAAAATGTAAGGCTTGATTAATAGACTATATACTATATATATAGTTTATATATCGTCACCTAAAATGCAAAATAACGTATCATCAAAAAACCGAAACTGATTTTATTGCTTATGATTCACTATTACAATGGGTAGCCTAAAATTTTTAGCTTCCGCTGTCAAATATAATCAATATATGTATTGGATAGTCGAAAAAGTCTTTTCGTATTTTGTCAATTGATGTGGTTGTAGTCGTATAACTGCAGTGCTACCAATCACATTGTGTCATACCATTTAGTGTTCGAAAGTTGAGATTTTAAGCTTCATTTAGCCAAGAGAGAAATTTAATTCGGGGAAGTTGAAAAAAAGTTGCAGCTGTTCAAAAATGAGTGTAAATAATGAAATATTTTTGTATAAAAAAGGGAAGAATGCCACGCAAGCCACCAATAAAATTTGTGAAGTTTACGGAAAGGATTTAGTTCGTGTAGCACAACAATGATTCGCTCGCTTCCGTTCTGGAAATTTCGATTTACATCGATGAAAGTTTTACACTGATGGCACAATGTCTCTAGCGAAAAAATGGAAAAAAGTGAGCGATGGTAAATATTTGTTTATTTATATATTATTAATATTAAAAAAAAAAAAAATTGGTTGAAGTTCGATTAGAAATACGAAAATACTTTTCGACTACCCAATGTAACTATTTTTTAACCAAGACTCAAAATTTTCTTTTTATGAGTAGTCTCTAATACATAATTTTTCGTTCCTGTAAACTTATGAAAAGTGATGTTAGTTTATTTTGAATTTTAGGTGACGATATAGAGAGAGCTATACATTTATAACTATAATAGTTGTGTTCATAAACGGGAATATAAAACTTTTGCGAGCTTGGAGAGTCCAATTGTTAATTTTGTTTTTTATTATATTTATTATTATTTTCTTTGAACTACGATAGCTGTATTCAGTGCTTAATTGTTTTACAGAAGCCAATAAGAGACGACGTGTTTTTACTGGCTTGAGGATTTTCGTTTTTTAAGGCTCAGGGTTCGTTGCTTATTATACATATATTTGTCAGATATGACTCCGACTCTCCGACTGAGAAAAAGTCACATCTTATTTCCAAAAATAATGAAAGCCTTAGAAGACCGTCGTTTTAGAAGATAGATGAAAACCAAACTAAAAAATAATATGGAATGGGAACTATTTTTAAGCTGACAACATTAATGTCCAAAAATGAATAAATCTTATTTGCCAAAAACATACAATTCCGCCATTATTTGAACACACTCACATGTTGTTGTAACAATTTGTTTGATAATTTTTTTAGGATAGATTTTCGCAAATAATTTCACTTGTTCTCATATTTTAAATAGTCTTTTGTTTGTAATTGTTTTGCTATAATATATTTTCTATACATAATATTACATATAAGTCTAAGTATATACTTATATATATACCGAGTTATTGATATTTACATTTGTAATTATTACTTAAATATATAATTTATATTTATTGCATATTTGTAGTATTGAAGAGCCAAATGATGACTCATTAAATGATAACTTAAATGTTTAGAATGTGAAAAGAAAACTTTGTAAAAAAAACAAAAAGAAAACGAATTCGTAGAGAGCATTTGCAAGTATTGTAGTTGATAAAAGAAAACAAAAGAAACAACAACTATTTACGATAATAAATAAAATTGAAGTGTAAAAAAAATTTTAGTAAGAGTTATCGCTTTACTATTGTACTCAGGAGAGAGAGTTCTAATATATTTGATACCATTTTCGAGACTACCACCAAAAGTAGAAAAGAGAGGTTTTTTTATAATAGCAAATATTTTACAGATCGATGCAACAAACGATGCACAACCTTATGTTCAGATTTTAGAATCATATTAGGTCTAGTAAAAAGATCTCCATTATTTTTCCAATAGGTGGTTTCAGTAATCTGTATCTCGCATTGTATAATTGCGATTGAATTACGCCATATGGTATTTGAAAGATAAGGTTTCATACTAAACACACTCCTCAGACAGTTTTGGGATTGATGGAATCAGTATTGATTGAACACGTGACAAAAATGGACCCTAGCAAAGAGAACGGTTAAAATTGTGAATAGTGCTTATGATTCTGATATTGTAGCAGTCAACCATGCGCAATTTTGGTTTCATCGATTTTGTTCCGCTACTTTGGTGTTAAGAATACATCACGTTCTGGAAGATCAATTATTGAAAATTTCGATAAAGTAACGGTACGAAACGCTGCTGAATCGCAACCAAATCGCTCCGTATCTGTAGTAGATGGCTACTGGTTATGAAGAGTAGGTTACTCACAGGGTTTGTCTGGAAAGTACTGGATACATTTTCGAGTGAGTGGAGCAAATTCTGTGTGAAACTTGGTAAATTTGCGACAGAGACGTTTGATATGAGCAAATAGACTTTAACCAGATGTTGCTTTAGCAAGGAGGGCCGTGGTTCATGACAGAGGGGTCTCAAGGCTTTCCGGAGAATGCCTTCCATGACGGCTTCAATGCTGCGAAATTGACCTGGACAACCCCTGAACGACAGGGACAAGCGGAAATGGTCGTGGTCAAATCACATTGAGCCAACGGTGCTAAACTCAAGATTGATTGTCAGGAAGGGAATGCTGTTTGTTTGGTGGGATCGCAAAGGAATCATCTACTATGAACTGTTCCCCTATGGTGTCAGCCCTGTACTGTTAGCGAATGGAACATAGTGGGCAATCGCTTGGAAATGATACGGCCAATAGGAGAGGAATTGTGTTCATCAGTTCAACACCAGGACACATACACCGATTGTAATATGCCAGAAGCTTCGAGAGCTCGCCTTATAGTTAGCCTCTTTCCCAAGTGAATATTAGCTGTTTCCATTTATATGATATGATGATGACTTCACTACGTTCACTGTAAACTTTCTGCCACTCAATAACTTTTGTTCATGATAAAGAAAAGCAGCCTCCACAAAAAAAGTTTCCAACATTCTCAAAGAATCTCCATATTTTTGATGAAGTCAATATGACGATACGAGTAGGAACTTGTTAAAATTAAAATATTGCTAAAACTTTCATATCAGAATTAAACTACATTCCAATAACTGTTAATTAACTATATTCCAATACAATAAGTGCAGCAGTGTAATTCTTTTAAAACTTGCTGTACTGCAATTTACCGTAAAAGTTGCAGTTGCGTAATTGTCAGCACTGTACAAATACCAAACAGACAGCTTTTTTAATTTGTTTATTTTTTATCAAAAACGAGCCTATATCACTTCAATTTAGAAGATTCTGAATGAAATCTTAGTGACCGCAAGGCCTGTTTACAAGCATTCCATCAAACCATTAGTACAAATAAATACGGCAAACACCAACCACTTCCACCAAACTGTTTTTGAACTGTTGAATTGACCATAAACAGAAACTTGCTGCTGCAAAAATAGCTGAGACGACATATACGAGTATATAAGTAAGAACAAACAGATTAAGAAATACTTTACGAGCCAAAAGCAGCAAAGTGGGGGCATAAATTATCCGACGTAACCGCTGTGCATTTACATGTGTTTGTGTTTGTGCAGCTGTATGCGTTTATTTGAAAAGTTATATCTTATGAACCCAGCAAACAAATTGTTTTTTGAAGACCAAACTTTTTAAATTTTTGTTTGCAATTAACTTGGAGGATATAAATATCTCTATTTATTGAAATAAAACTCATAATACTCTGCGGACTTAAGGAATCCAATATATATAATTACTATATCCGGTGAAGGACTATCATATCAACAAAAAATTTACGCGTATCAACCAAACCTTAATTTTTTCGGGATGCAATGACGACTCATTGAGTACGTGTGGATTGCGCCTGACCAATAACGCACATTTTGCTTATTGACGAAGCCATTCAGCCAGAAATGGGCCTCATCGCTGTAGATGATTTTTCGATGAAAGTCCGGATAATTTCAAATTGTCGCTTGATGTTCCCTGCCAACCACCGATTCTGGTGGTAGATCGGCTGCAGTTTTTGCGTCAATTTGATCTGGTCAAGATTATTTCCGGATAATTTCAAATTGTCGCTTGATGTTCCCTGCCAACCACCGATTCTGGTGGTAGATCGACTGCAGTTTTTGTGTCAATTTGATCTGGNGATTCTGGTGGTAGATCGACTGCAGTTTTTGTGTCAATTTGATCTGGCCAAGACCATTTCCGGATAATTTCAAATTGTCGCTTGATGTTCCCTGCTAACCACCGATTCTGCTGGTAGATCGGCTGCAGTTTTTGCGTCAATTTGATCTGGCCAAGATCATTTCGCAAAATTTGCTACAACGACGTCACAGAGATGCTTAGTGCTTCAGTACTCTTTTAATGGGCGACAGGTAGCAATATTGTGGACACTACGGACACTTCTTTGTCTCATTGGCAGGGAACATTTTGTTCTGGGCCTGTGGATTCAAATTTTTCCACTATACGCTCGGTGGTTGATCTGACAGGACAATTATGACGACTATAAATTGGATGTAGCGCTCTTAAAGTTAAGGCCAATGACTCCGAATTTCGGTAGTAAATTTTAATTTTGACTAGTTGTTGGATCGTATATTTTTTCACGATGAAATTACAAACCTTAATAAAGAGAAATGTTAAAAAAACGGGAAAATAGCGTCGTTTGTAGTCCCTATAGGTCTACTTTTATAGCGTCTATAATGGAAAAATCCGATATTTGCGGAGAGTAAGCTCTATCCAAGAGATGTTATATTAATTCCGTATCCTTCATTAAATGACTTTTCGACAATATGTTAATTTATTTTTGTAAAGCGATTTAACCAGGGGCTAGAGAAAGAAATGTTTAATCTATAGAAAAATATAGCGATAAACCATTAGTTCAATTCCAACTAGTTTATTCCTGTCGTCTTCTTAAGAATATTTCTTCAGTTTTTGTGAGTAAATGTTCCATTTGTTGTGTATTACTGGGCCGGAGAGTATTCTATATATTCTCCTTTTACTCTCGCAGAAAAGACGCGATGTTGAAGGAAACAACTGATTTGAAAGAAAAAATGTTCATGCAAATAGCAAAATTTTTCTTGAAGATTAGACATTTCATTATGAAAAACTATAAATACATGCGTTCCAAGGGTTATTAAACAGTTTGTTACCATTATCCACAAACCACGATTTGGTAATTTTTGCGGTATGTTTCGGATCGCTATTTTGCATATTCGAGTCCGAATATATCCAGCCTTGGGAGATATGAGTGCAGCAGAATATCAATATAATCTGTGATACGCATTATACCATCGATCTGCCGAAGTATATCCATCACATTTCCACTAAGTGATCAGTGATCCATTTCCTCCTAGATTCAATTCGTTTATTTCTGATTTCATTGGACAAAGTAACTCTTTGCCAAGCACCCATGGTAATCATATTTTTGGCGAACTTTATTGCTCTAGCCCTGAAACAGTCATTTATTATTCATCATGATAGACACTGATAATGACCTCTCTGACTTCAATCGTTTCCAGAGCGGTAGTTGTTGCAGCGGATGGAGAGAATTGCGATGGATCTCCACTTTTCACATTTTCCTTCAAAATAGAATTAACGATTTTTCCCCACAAAGGGCAACTAAAAATTTATTAAACTACTATGTTTCATATTTTTTATTGCTTCGATTGAAAAAATGGTAAAAGTCCTCTTACTTTGAAAAAATTATTACCAACTCTATATGTAGTCTCACCTTGAAAGCGGACAATATTCATCCAAGAATTTGCATTGTTAAAAAACTAATAGATAATTTTAGCTGAAGGTGCCACGACAAGACGACTGAGGCTGAAGTTTAGTAAATGAAAATCTGCTAAAACTATCATTGAAAAATTTATTTAGTATTTCGCTTTCAACTAAGTCTAGTAACACTTTTAACACACTTGCAGGTAAATATTAGAGCGTACGTATGCGTTTGCTTGTTGGGATTAATTAGCACAGAATAGCAAATTGAATATTTAACAATAAAGCAATAACAACAACGCCTACAAACGCAACAACAACAACTATTAACTGGCAAAGAAAACTAACAATCTCCAGCATAATACTTGTATAGCGTCAGCATTAACAAGTGTCAGCTGCTGCAGCCAATCAACCTACATACCTATCACCTTCAATCGATTCTGAGTGCACGCCATCGAATCTGTTGAATCAGTTGAGTTCTTAATTCTCGCGTAGACGGTCGTTTACGGTGATTTGCAAGTTAAGATGCTAAATGGAAAATTCTACACGGGTCTGCCGCCTGGCATGATTGAACGGGGTGCGACACAGCGTAATCGCTTGCAATCAAGTATTTTCTGGCCGGATGACACCAAAGTCGACTCGGCGGTGGAGACGCGCGTCAAACGTCGTAATAGCTTACAAATTGCACAAGCCGAAAGGCCACGACTGCGCATGCAATCATCGGTGAGCGGTGGCGGTGAAGCAGATATAAATACACGACAACTATTTCAGAAAGAGTTTTCAAAATCATCAATTGAGTTTTTGGATAATCTCTGTGATGAAACGAAAGCAAGAAAACCCTTGCTCTTCAGGGGTCATCGGAGTGCTGCTAGCGAGGTGACAGCCAAACCGACAGCGCTGAAACTGCCACTGCCCGAGAATGTGGTGAACGCTGGCTATACCACTGCCAAGAAGAAGCAAGCGTTCACATCGAAAATCGAGTTCTACGATTATGTAGGTGATGAGTTGAACAATCGGAATAATTTGAGACGTGCCAAAATGGATATGAACGATAAGAAGGAGATGGAACGAAATACGAAGAACAGTCCCAAATTGCAAGTGAAAAACAATATGCGCGATTTAAGCGCGAATGAAAAGCTCTATCCCGCCGAGCGACGTGAGAAAATAGAGCTAGAGCGAGTGGGTATCAAAAATATGCAGGATAATACTGAAATACAATTGAAAAACAATATGCGCGTCGAAACGGAGGAAGCTTTTGATGAAGAATACGAAGATGTTCGTCACAATTCAGCTGAATATAACAGAAAGCCGCGTGAAAGCGTCGATCGTTTTAGAGACGAACGCATACGTGAATTAGATTTTTTGGAAAGTAGACGAACTGTTAGTCCAGAGCATGGCTACAGACGTGAACATCGTCTACAAGAATTGTATGAAGATGAATATGGCGCACCTGGTTATGCGCCCACTGGACGCTATGGGCGCGTGACGGCAGTGCGTCGTTCCAACAGCGTTGGACGTTTCACGGCGCCACCAAAACGTATACTAAAACAACCCATAAGAGAGCGCAGGCATTACGAGGATTATGCAGATGATGGTTATAGAAGCAGTGAGGTCAGTAGAAGCAATGCCGCTTATAGACACAGAAATAACGAAGTGTATGAACGACAAGCTTACAACGAGCACGATGCTGAGGAAAATGTGGACTACATGGAGGATCGCATGAGAAATATGCGCGTTCGTACATCTCCAAAGAAACATGTCACCTACAGCGATGACACCTACTCGCACGACGATGAAATGCCAACTCAGTCACGACGACGGCTCGCGTCAAACGCGCAGTCGCGCAACCGCGTACCACCACCATTAAAAACAGCAACAAATACGCGCACCGGAAGCAACAACCTGCAACGCCAACCAGCAACGTTACGACGCTACAATAGTGAAATCGATATCGCAGATAATGCTAATGAGCAGACGTTGGAGCCGGAATTTATGGAAAATGACATGAGCGGCAGCGCTGCAACAATCAAGTCATTAAATATTGCTGACACTTACAATAACAAAAGCAATAACCGTCAGTGTATTGAGGGTGAGGAGCACAAGCGTTTGGTCAATAAAATAAATAACAATAAAAACAATAATTACAATAATACCACAAGTCGTCTTAACAATCAAACTATAGCATCAGCTGCACGAAAAATCACACCAAATATGCCCACATCCGCGACAACAAAGCAAAATACCGACACGCGAAGCGCAACATCAGAAGCGGCGACGGGAGCGGGCGTTAAAAAACATTTGCGCAGCAGCCTCTGTTTTAACAATGGCGAGATCATTGCGAGTGATGACGGCGGTTCGACGTCCGTAAAGGCACCCACGCGCAATGCGCGCAGCACGGCGACGCGTCAGCGCATTAGTGTGGGTCTGCCCGATTAACAGCTGACTTCGCGCTGAGCTAAGCGGTGGCGTAACAGGCCGCTGCACTGTATAACGCGTGCATGGTGAATGGCTCGCGCTCGCTAATACAAAGATCATTCATAAAATGAGATATAACATGGTAAAGTGTTGTTGTTATTTTAGTTGTGTCTTTAAATGATCGAATTTTTAAATGGAAAATTAACAAAGTAACTTTATGAACGCTATAGTATATTTAGTGCGGTATCTAAAATGTTAAATTTCAATGTTATATACAAATGTTTCGGTGCATGGTATATATGAAAATATGTATCAGTATTTCATTATTTATGGTGTTTTGTGTTCGTAAAGTTGGAAACTCATAAATACCAATGAATACAAATACAATGGCAAGCCTACACTCAAATTCAAGAGCACGTCTATGTAAATAGTTTTTGTACTTACTACAGCATATATACAAACAAATAATATATTTTGTTGGTTATAAAGCTTAATGGTATATACATAAATGTATAAGTACAGAAGATTTAAAATGTATCATTCCAATTCTTGTATAATACGTATCAAAAAATCAGTTCTATATCTGAAAAATTGGTATACTTTCCCGAGAGATTAATACTAATTTTAAATACTATTTTCAGAATGAAAAAAATATATCCAAACTAAATATTTATAACTGTATTTACGAGTAAAATAAACAGCTGTACAATAGTCAACTAGTATGGCGTCAGCACAAGTCATACCTTCTATCTGTATTCATTTAAAATAGTAGCTTGTGTCGAAAAGAGAAAAACGTTCTACATTTTTGAAATGAAAATTATAATAAATAATAATACGATGAAATTCATTAAGAGGTAGGAATGCAACAAAAATTATAACAAGTAAGGTTGTAGACCAATTTCGCTCATTTTCACACTGTAATATAGTAATGTAAATATAATGTTATACACCGAATTTGAATTGAAATCCGTCGGGCGAGTCTCGAGTGTTTTGTTTGCTCCGAAAAGTGAGCGGTGCCACTACCAATGCCCAATTTTGATCCCGGCTCTATAACAGCCCTGCTATATCATTCTAGGGAGTAAAATTTAACGTCTTTGGGTTATTTAGTTATTGGTTTATCGCGCTTTTTTACACTGTGAGTTCTTATAATATTTGCGTTGGGTGAATTTGGTTGTTGTATCCTAAGTGGATTAAGAGATATGTACATTGAGTCCTATGGAAAATGTGAAAAGATCAAGTTCTACGCAATAAAAAAATCTATATTCCTTATGTAAATATTTGTTAATATTTTTTTCTATCATTGTGTTTATTTCTTTTCCTTTTCTAATGAGTTTCACTCCACTATTATATTTTTCGCATTTTAAATTTTTTCAATTCAATTTTCCATTAACTATATTTTAGCCGTCTTTTAATGCCAAGATAAATATATCGAATTAAACGCCTTCTATACCAGATATGTATAAATGAAATACTATTGGAAACTTATTGTTATTTAAAACAGTTTTCATAAAAAAAAAGCTTCTAACCTCGGGTTTTCGTTTGAATACAAGTATATGTATGTATGAAAATGTATATAATAAGTTTAAAACCTTGTACCTATTATATAACATATCTTCTATTAATAACAACACTTAGTAATTAGTTTCATGGTAATATTAGCATAGCTTACTTTGTAGTCAAGACATTTTTTTTTTTAATATTTTGTATAAAAAAACTTTCAATTAACAATGTTTTCAAAAATAAGAAAAAAATAAAATAAAAAATGTTAACCCAACTAACGAAATTGGTTTTAGTTGTTTGGAACGAACATAAATTCGAGTTTATTATTTTGTGTTTATGAACTTTTCTCTTTCTTATTTCTTGAAATAAAATTTTTCGATCGTCGGCGTATATTTAATCTAAAAAGCATTCTAAAAAAAAAGCACTTTTGTTAGGTTTAACTTAATTTGTGTGCGAAGAATTTTACGCCAACTGCATCCTTGCAACTTGGACCACTGCGTCGTAGAGGACACTTGTGACTGTTTCTCCGCTCACAAAACGACGAAGGTCATGGTACCTGGAGAAGGTGGGAGTGAGCTTTTTTCATGCGTATATTGAAGGTAGGAGGGCAGATAGGAGAGAGAGGTTTCTGTAAAGAGCCTTTCACAAAGCTTAGCTTTAAGCCATTGGAACGCTAAAGAGTTTTTCAGGCGGAAGCCGGACAGCCGCTGCGTTAAAAACACTGATATCCATGCTCGACTTGTTTCAGAGTTGGAACATTTTTGATCTCCCTTCTCATCTTCCAGTACTGCACTTATGAACCTCACGTGAGCTTAGCAGGCATTCGTTGGTGACCAGCAGCTTCCCGATTTCGGAATCCTTTTGGCTTAGAATAGAATGCGGGAGATCTAAATATTACTTCCCTATTGTCCAATAGGGTGAGGTGAAAAGATTAAGGCAAGGCTGAGTTTGAAACAACTCGGTAGTCATACTTCGTGAAACTAGTAGACATAGCCGGAACTCACATTATCCGTCTTAAAAAATGTGCTCTTTGTCTATTTGTGGGTGTTTTTATGACCAATTTTATAAAAGTTAGCGGTATCACAAGTACAGTGAGATCACTGAAGGGATCGAGATCTTTACTGGACTGATGTTGTCATCGTCCATGCACGGGCAGGACTGGAATAATGAGTGACTTAAAGTGTTTTTTTGTTCGTCGAGAGGGCACTGTACTTCTCAATTGTCTACTTAGTCCGAAGTAGCACCTATTAGCAAGAGATGTTCTGCGATATGTTTCGTTGGTGTTGATGCTGATTCCAAGATAGACGAAATTATCTACGACTTCGAAGTTATGACTGTCAAAAGTGACGTGGGTGCCTAGTCGCGAGTGCGACGACTGTTTGTTTGATGACTGCATTTATTTCGTCTTGCCCTAGGTTACCATAAGATCCATTTGCTTCGCTGCCTTAACCATTCTGGGGCAAGCAGAACTAACGGCGCGGATGTTGAGGCCAATGATATCAATATCATCGGCATACGACAGCAGCTGTACACTCCTATAGAAGATTGTATCTACTCGATTAAGCTCTGCACCTCGAATTATTTTATCCAGCAGTAAATTGAAGAAGTCGCACGATATAGAGTCGCCTTGTCCGAAACCAGGTAGCTTGATGAATTTTATTATGCTGAAATATAGTACTACAGATAACTATTTACGAAGCTAATAACTTTATATGTTTGACGTCGGCTGTTCAGACAGCAAAACACTGAGATCTGGTTACCATAAAACCAAACCAAGATTGTTTTGTATCGCAAAACCTTTTTTTAATGATCATTGACTCTCCTACGATTTTGGAGAAAGTCCCGTCTAATACTCCGACTTTGTTGCTCTACTCTCAAAGCAATTTCGCATATTTAACGGCAAAAGCTTTATCTACTATAAGCTAATCCGTGTAATACTCAGCTGCTGCGCTTGTCATTGTTGCATAAGGATGAATACTCTGGTGAAAAGTCACTAAAGTCAAATAACAAGTAGCCTGTCGATTTGGCTATCAAATTACGACAAGCGCGAGCTCATTTATGGCATAAATATGCAACCATGTGCCTTTGCTTTCAACAACTGCCGTCATTACGCAATTAAATACAAATCTCACCTGTATTACCGACATATCTATTAGTTTTAAGGAGCTCTCCCAAATCGGATATTCCCGCCGGCTACTTTGACGGTAATTAAAGCAATTGGTTTTTCATATTATTTAGACATTGCAATTGCATTTATGCGTGCCAAAGATAAACATAAATGAATGCATAACGAATGCAACATGCGAAGCATAAAACGCGAACCCGCAGCAAAGCTCACCCGACAGACAGGATGTGCCGAGGAAATGTGCGCATGCGCTATTATATGTATGTACGTGCGCGCGACGACTATTGAGTAATTTGAAAAATTCAAGTCCAACACGGCCGCATAGGCAAGCAGCAAAAGAAATGGTTACGCAACAGTTATTGCGCGCGTACGAAATAAAAGCAATGACGGAAAGACGAAGCAAAGCGACAACATGAAATAATCAATTACAAAAACACCGGCAGCAATGAGGGAAAATAGCTGCAACTTGCCACTTGCAACGTGCAACTTGCCAAGCCGGCGAACTGTTGTTGTTATCCGCTTGCAAATACACACAGACATAATAAATAAATTACCAAACGAGTGCAAAGCAAGCCAGTCAGTTACAAGAAAATTGTTCCGCATTGGTGCGCAGCACATCCTGTAGCGCCAACGAATGGGCAACAGCAACAGCTGCTTGCTGCTTTTTGCTTTCAGCTGACTTGTGGCTTGCTACTGCCACTGCGACGTACGTCAATGCCAAGGCARTCRGTTGCGGCCTTAGAAAGTAGTGCATGAGCTGCGCGACTTGCGACTTGCGGCATGCTGCATATACATATGTAGGTGTGTGCCTTCATGCAGCTTGCAACGTGCAACATGCCACATGCTAACTCCTTATGGCAATCCTATTGACTGCATAAAGCAAAAGTGATTGCATTGTTGCCGCGCCTGCTTGCGGTGTATGTGGCTTAGTTGCACGCGCACGTTTCCTGCATTTGAACCTGAACTTCAAAAAAACGAAAGCAATTGGTTATGGGTAAATAAAAGTATGAGACAGAGACACACTCGTATTATGTTGTATTATTTACTCATTTTCGGCTGATTTCTTATTTTCTTATTTAACCCGTTTGTTGCTGGTTCGCGCCACTTTGTTGCCAAATCTGATTTGTCAGTTTTAATAAACTCGTGTAATGGTAGATATGCACCATAACCTAGCAATTTGATGTATTACGACGCTGACTCTAACAAGTTAAACAGGTAGTTCCCAATGAGGGAATTTTCAGTAATAAATAAAAAGCACTTCAAAATCGGTTAGGCTAAAAAGTGGAAAATGTATTTTTGGAGGTGTCAACTAATTGAATTAATTGGGAAAAACGACTTGAAAAAAGAATGTGCGAATATTTGGCAYACCTTCGTATTATTAGTGGTCCCTTTATGGGTGGATTGTTGCAAACTTGTTGCAAGTTGATTTTAGTCCTTGATTAGTGGACATTTTATGGTGCATCAATGCGAACCTGTTGCAAGCTACAATTTAATTTCAGATTTTTTTTCTATTTTCGATTTTTTATCCTCGACCATTAACATGGGCTTCGAATGAAACTTTTTTAGGAAATCTTTAAATGATAAGATGTTTTGAAAAAATATCCTCCTTCTCTTTCTCTCTCACTTCAAAGCGTATGCAGAGTATAGAAAACTTGTTTGCTTTTGCTTTAACATTTTACTAAGTCTCAATTAGTCTAGTTAACTTATTATTTAATTGATTCTTTTAGTACAAAATATGGGGTTCAAATGTTTTCTAGTCATTGTAAATGTTGCTTAGCATTCAGTCAGTCTTCATTATGTGACAAAGTGGATCCAGTTCAGAGATGTCTTGGTCACCGCAAAACTTCTTTTTTGAGAGGAGATCCCGGAGATCAGCTGTATTTCCTTTCCAAATGAATATTTTACTAATACTAATTCTTAAAATACAGTTAAGGAATAATTTAATATGTGTAAAAATAGTTGAAGCAATAAGTTTAAAAGTTTTCTCAGAAAAAAATCTGGAAAATTCGCTTTTTCGGCCTTCTAACTGTGTACCGTATAATCCCTTTAGCGAATACTCAGATATTTACTACTGTGGGCAAAATATAGTAAGACTTTCTTCATAGTTATAAAATTAATAATATATTCTTCAAAATCTCTGTCCTCCCCCTCAAAGTAATTCCCTTTGACGCTAATATAAATATGGTAACTTTTTTTCAAGGCTCGAAACAGTTGTGAAAGTGAAATCCCGCAATTGCCTTCAATGCGCCTAGCAATTCACGTTTAATGTCTTCAATTGATTCAAAACGATTTCCTCGGAGCGGTCGCTTGTGTTTGCGGAATAGTCAGAAGTCACATGGAGTTAAATCACGTAAATACGGTACGAGTATTTGCGGCACGATATTGATTGAAAATTTGGCGAAATACTCACGAGGAGTCAATGTAGTATGAGACTGAGCAAAAACCAAGAGTCCTCGACCCATAATTCCGGCCTCTTTTTACGAATAGTTTCGCGAAAAATGCTTTGCCGTAGTTTTTTCGGATACGCCTTATCTTTGTAGATATTCGGCCAATTGATTGTCTGTTCCCGGGTCGTCAGCA